AAATCGAGGCTCTTGGCTACCTCCCAGAGGGCTTTCTCAGTAGTTGCCCGCAGATTATGGAACGGCCTGCCAGATAAGATCCGTCTGATTACATCTCTAAACAGCTTTAATATTATGGTGGCACAATGGTTAAATGCCAGTACTGTGGCCATTCACAGCCACAAAGTTGTGAGTTCGATCTCAGAGGGCTCCAGGGTCAACTCAGCCTTGCATCCTTCCGTAGGTTGCTCAAATGAGTACCTAGCTTGTTGGGGGCAATTACACATTATAAACCACTTAGGGAGGGCTTAAATGCACTGATAAATGTACTTGCTATTGTTATTGCTCTTGCTATTTGCAAAGAAAGAACTGAAATGTGTATTTTCTTGCAACTTCTGACCCTTCTTTTTCCCCCAAGGGAGAGAAAACAATGTTTTTGCACTGAGACCGGGAAGATGTGTGAATATTCTTTACATCCCTGCTGGAGACACAGCTTTTGATCAGAGACAAACCGGAAAGCCTTGCAAGAAAATCTTTAGCAAGCTTCAGCCTTTTTCCTCACCCAAGGCCTCTCCAACTAGTCCTGGGATTTTGCTCTCCCCTAATGCTAAGAAGGCTCTCCCTTTCTCCACTCTGATGGGTAATAGCTGCTAATCAACTTGTACTGCAGTAATCACAACTGGAGGCGAGATCTGTACAAAGCGGGAGGAAATAAATACATTAGTCACCCAAATCCTGACAAAGTCTGAAAAGGGGGGGGGAGAAAGAGAGAAAGAGTTTCCTTTTTGGATGAATGGAGAGATTCCAGGGAGTAAGTGTCTTTTCAAATGCTAGCACACACATATGGGGGGAAGGAAATGAAAGGAATAGAGAGGCTGAGAGAGTGTGACTTGCTCAAAGGCATGTGTGTGTGTGTGTGTGTGTGTGTATGTGTGGCATAGTGGTTTGAATGTTGGACTACAACTCTGGAGACGAGGGTTTGATTCCCAGCTTGGCCAAGGAAACCCACAGGGTGACCTTGGGCAAGTCACACTCTCTCATCCTCAGAGGATGGCAATGGCAATCCCCCTCGAAAGAAACTTGCTAAGAAAACCCTACAACAGGTTTAACAGGGTTGCCATAAGTCTGAAATGACTTGAAGGCACACAATGACAGACAGACAGACAGTATATATTATGCATATATTTAATTCCTATTCTTAGTGTACTATAATAAGAGGAGGAAGAGGAAGAGGAAGAGGAAGAGGAAGAGGAAGAGGAAGAGGAAGAGGAAGGGGGGAGAAGTGATCTTTCTGCCACTTCCAAGGTTCCTTCTCTTTTCCCCCTTTTTCCCCCTGGCATTTTTGGTGGTCCATTTGGCCTTTGCAAGGTCCCCAAAACAAAACGAACTCCACCAAAGCTGCTCCCACCTGCTCAGTGCAGCAGTTTGGCTGTTGCCTCTTATATATTTTTAAATTAATAGAGCCCCCCAAAGACCACTGAATATCTAATCAAGCAGCCACGCCACCATGCCCCCCTGAAGCTGGTGTTTTGTGCCGGTCTGTTTAGCCCCACATTCTGCTGGAGACCATGGCAGAGCCCTGAAAGAAGAGGCCTGGGCCAAGCCCCTACACTGCACTTCCTTAGTGTGAACCTACACTCAAATAGTTAAGCCTTGGTTGCTCTATGCCAGGGGTTGGCAAACCATGGCCCGTGGGCTGAATCCGGCCCACCGAGGCCTTCCTACCAGCCCCTGACCGGTCCTGCCGCTGCCGCCTTTCTCGGGCACGTGCGACTCCGGGGCGCCATTTTGTGTTCCAAAAATGGTGCCTGGAGTCTCGCGTGACCTTTCCTGTCTTGTCCTGTGATGGGAAAGGTCGCGCGAGACTCTGGGGGCCATTTTGGAACATAAAATGGCACCCCTAAGGGGGTCCCTCACAGCCGCATAGGGAGACCCGGTGCAGTCGACGGAGCCCTCCTAGGCGACCCCCGCAGCCGCGCTGGGCAAACTTTGGGGTTTCTCAGAACATCGGAGGGCCGGAGTAAAACAAACAAACAAACAAACAAAAACGCTTTTTTTGGTGTTTTTTTTTTTTTTTTACTCTGGCCCTCTGATGTTCCGAGGAACCCCGAACTGGCCCCCGGCTCAAGAAGTTTGCCGACCTCTGCTCTATGCCAATGTCAGGGGTGCTTTCATTATGAGTTCCTGCATGGCAGAGGGGTTGGACTGGATGGCCCCTGCAGTCCCTTCCAACTCTAGGATTCTAGGATTGTTTTGCTGAATGTCAACATTATGCAATAAAGCAGGGGTAGGCAACCTTTCCCCTTTAAGGGCCGAGGGACTACAGCTCCCAGAATCCCAGGAGCTATTGACCAACATGGGACTATTGGCCAACATGTTTGAGGCTTCTGGGAGCTGAAGTCCCTTGGCCTTTAAAGGGGAAAGGTTGCCTACCCCTGCAATAAAGGGTCCAGACTCCAGCTTTGAACATCTAAGACTCCAAACTCCATCCGGACCATGAGAAGAACAGAATGTTTAGCTAGAATCATCAAATCCTAGAGTTGGAAGAGACCCCAAGGGGCCATTCACTCCAACCTCATTTTGCCAGGGAGGAAGACATAGTCAAAGCACTCCCTGTTACAGATGGCCAGCTATGCTTCTGTTAAAAAGCCTCCAAAGAAGGAGACTCCACCACCCTCTGAGGAGCATTTTCTGCTCTTGAGCAGCTCTTACCATCAGGAAGATCCTCCTAAGGTTTAGGTGGAATCTCTTGTCCTGTACTTTGAATCCATTACTCTATGTCCTAGTCTCTAGGGAACAGCAAACAAGCTTCTTCCTTACTTGTTCCTTAGGATTTTGGCCACAGGGATCTGTACTCGGCCCTGTGCTATTTAACATCTTTATCAATGACTTGGATGAAGGAATAGAGAGAATGCTCATTAAACATGCAGATGATACCAACATGGAAGTGGACAGGATGAAAATTCTAAATGACCTTAATAGATTAGAGGGTTAAGCTAAAGCTAACAAGAGGAATTTCATCAGGGAGAAATGTCAGGTACTACACTTAGGGTGAAAAAATGAAATGCATATATATAGAATAGGGGACATCTGGCTAGACAACAGTTCATGTGAAAAGGATCTAGGAGTCCTAGTGGACCACAAGTAGAACATGAGTTGACAGTGTGATGTGGCAGCTAAAAAGGCCAATGCGATTTTAGGCTGCATCATAGAATCATAGAGCTGGAAGAAACCCCAAGGGCCACCCAGTCCAACCCCCCTGCCATGCAGGAACTCCCAATCA